TATATATACAGTATATCATTATTTTTATCACTTTCAATCTCAATTACACACTATACTTTACCGATTTTACACATATAGGTTGGCGAGATACAATCCATGGGTATGCAAACCTGTATAGGCCTAACGTTTGATATCTGGCAGCCTACTTACATTACGAGTGAAATACATGTTTTGATTACATGAAATTTATATTAAAGGACTGGCATTTTATCTAGCAATTCCTCGACGTCAATGCAATCGAGCGGATTGTCTTAGCAACACGGGAGCACAAAGGTTATTGCTATGACGACCGGTCTTTTGTATACGTTCATATATATCATGCACGGCGAGTGTCGATGTAATATGCTTTTACGGAAGTGATAGTGTATGGTCTTCTTTGGAAGTTAGTTGGAGTATACACGACCTTCTTTAAAGCCAATATCTTGAAATTTATTGGTAAGTATAGTGAGTATTATAACTCAAGGTCTTCAATAGTGTAGATATTGATCGGTGTAATGGGTACATAGGGGTTTGGTTTAAGTCCATGCTATCTAGTATGACTGCACATTATAAGCCCGATCTCTGTTGGAATGGTCTTCACAACGTGTACACAGTAGCATAGCGCAATCGGTGAATATCCGGACTTTTAATCGGTCCTTAGGTAAGTTTCTGTTTATGAATAATATTGGTACAGCCTAAGTGTATCCATGTTCCAGCATAAATACAAAAAACACCATTTCCCACGGTTTATTCCTACGATTCCCATTCATAGTCAGTCAGCTGAAACCCATATAGTCCTATAATAATTCACTTGGGAATTCTAGCAGCTAATACAGCATTTAACCACGCTACTTGAATGGGTTTATTAATACATCATTTTTAAGCCATGTTTTGAGCTGCTGTACGAATACAAACATATGCGATTGGTATAATCTAAATATAATAAAGACGTGTTTAAAGGTCAGTAAGGGTTATGGGATACAAAGCCATAAGCAGTGGCGCGCAGGAGGGGTGTAGGCCTATTTCCCCTGCCTCCCCAGTCTTTCCCTCCCATTGAAAATGTTCGAAGCAAAGAATCACGCTCAAGTAGTTAAAAATCACCTCAAATCACCAGCTCATCACACCTAATCATCGGCGAGGCTTGAGAGCTGTCCGGCAAGGTGCAAATTTAAGATTGATGTTAAACTTTTTCCTTATTATAATGTATTATCTAATGTATTATTTAATATAAATTAAAATTATTATAATTTATTATATAATACACATTTCCATTTTTCTTATATATTATATATTTTTTTATATATTTATTATATATATATATACCCCCTCCCATTGAAAATGTTCGAAGCAAAGAATCACGCTCAAGTAGTTAAAATCACCAAATCACCAGGTCCCCACACCTAATCATCGGCGAGGCTTGAGAGATGTCCGGCAAAGATCATGCAAATTAAAGATTGATGTTAAACTTTTTCCTTATTATAATGTATCTAGTGTATTATTTAATTATAAATTAAAATTATTATAATTTATTATATAATACACATTTTCCATTTTTCTTATATATTATATTTTTTTATATATTTATTATATATATATATATACCCCCTCCCATTGAAAATGTTCGAAGCAAAGAATCACGCTCAAGTAGTTAAAAATCACCTCAAATCACCAGGTCCCCACACCTAATCATCGGCGAGGCTTGAGAGCTGTCCGGCAAAGATCATGCAAATTAAAGATTGATGTTAAACTTTTTCCTTATTATAATGTATTATCTAATGTATTATTTAATTTAAAATTAAAATTATTATAATTTATTATATAATACACATTTTCCATTTTTCTTATATATTATATATTTTTCTTATATATTTATTATATATATATAAAACTGTATATAGAAAAAATGAAACAACTTCAATAGTAGACTTTAAGAACACTGATTTATTTATAACTCGGATATTTCTGCCATATATTAATAAAAGCATGATCATCGTCGTCTTCCAAGTCTTAGTTATCACCATCTTCATCGTCACTTGTCGTCATTATTATAGTTATTATTATCATCATCATTATAATAATTATTAACATATTTTTTAGTGCACTACGAATTTCGAGGTCGTTTGTAAACGCGCTGATGAGGAATTGAAGAATTCAATTAATTTCCTATTAGAAAGGAGGTCATTATTATTTGATGCATATTTTCTCTTCAATGAATGTAGGCCTATTCCTGATAACATACCGTGATGTGTTTATGAGAGCCTGTCGTCTCTCGTGACCATGATTTATTATTAAAAGCAGTCTCATTTTAAATGATCCTCCTCTCAACTCATATTCATTATTTTAAAGCTTCGGAGTATTGTATTACAGTGACTATGGCTGAGTTTGCATTTTGCAGACAATGATTATTAACAAGCAAACTACTTGATTCGTGTTATTGGTGATCCGCTTCACAGAACGGATCACCTCTTTTTATTGTCAGAGATTTGTTTTTTTATTCTACATTTCTCCCCATTTCTTGTTCGCACGATATCTCAAAATTGCCGCGAGCTACGCATATGGCAGCTTCAATCAACATTTGGTTCTTGGCCTGGAATAGTCACAATAAGCTTTTCCAAACACACACACACCTACCCCCCCCCCCACACACCCCCCCCACACACACACACATACATAGGCCTTGAAATGTCAAAGTCAGCTTTAGCTGCTCAATAAACATGGGCAGTATAATCAGAGCCCACAACAAACAGCTACTGGTTACTAAGCAACAATTCCATCAGATAAACTCTGCAATTGCAGGAAAAAAGATGAATGTCCACTCTCTGGAAATTGCCTCACCTCATCCATCATCTACAAAGCCACTGTCCACTCAAATGATGACACAAAATGCTACATCGGGCTCACTGACACACCGTTCAAAACCCGATACACAAACCACAAATACACTTTTAACACCCCCCAAAAACAGAAACATGCTCCGTACTCTCCAAATACGCATGGAAATTAAAAGACAGCAACACACCCTACAATATCAAATGGTCTATTATCGACGGAGCATCGACCTACTCCACAAAAACAAAACGCTGCAACCTATGCATAACCGAGAAACTTCACATAATATATTCAGACAAACAGACAATACTAAACAAAAGAACCGAGCTTTTGTCTAAATGCAGGCACAACAACAAATACCTACTTAAAAACAATTAACTCATTTGCATTTTCATCTGCCTTAACATTCATATCGTCGCTCACATCACGAACTAACACAATCAAAGTAGATTGTGTTAGTTCGTGAAATCACAGTAGCGCGTCAAAACGAGCGTGTATTGGTTGTCAAGCAATTTTGTATTCTTTACCACACAAAAAGTCCTTAACGACAGCAGCGCGTATTTTGACGCGCTTTTTTGATTTCACTAACTAACACAATTGAATTTAATTGTGTTAATTGGTGATGTGAGCGACGATATACTCCACAATCCTTGTATTCTCTCACTCCTGAAGATTGCATTAACATGAAACAGTCTGTAGAGTGACTATACCCAGTTTTACAATTTCTACATTTTCAATATATACATACATATATGTTATTCTACATTTCATATTGATATCTTTAAATAATGTTATAAATATCGGCATGTTGTCCGCAACCGAAAACAAATAGTTTATATTATGCAGAGGTACATCCTTTTTGTGACTGTACCGTAAGCTTTTTTGATTGAATTTCCAGTGGAATATTTTATAATCTCGATTTATTTTGACATGTATCCGTTTATGTAACGATCCATAAATTATGATATATTTTTGCCGCTACAAAAGTAATTTATGCCTATTCATTACCGGTACATAAAAATATTATAACTCACTGTGTTTTGGATTAAATAAAAATTGCACATAAATATACATTACGCTTTTTCTGTCTTGTAAAAGGTATCTCTGTTCCCAAACCATTAAAAAATACCGTATATGTTTTCTTAGCCTCTTGCATAAATAAACGGATACCGTAAGCGCAAAACTATGAATTTTTAAATATCAACTAACTACAGGCTACATTATAACATTATTATATTATAGGTTTATAATCATTTGTGTCTACTACATTTTTTTATCCTTTTTTCGAGCTGTAATAAATATGACGGGAAAAGACCCTGTACAACTTTACGATACATGCAAGATGCCAGTTCCCATTTTTCCTTCTATTCTCTAGTTGTTTCAACTAATTATAAGCACATTATAACATTATTATATTATAGGTTTATAATCATTTGTGTCTACTAATTTTTTATCAGGTTTTCGAGCTGTAATGAAAATGACGGGAAAAGATCCTGTACAACTTTTACGATACATGCAAGATGCCAGTTCCCAGCTGACAAACGAGATCCAGCAACTCCGAAGTGGAGCTTACCGCAAACTATATCAGCAGACTCGAAGTTTTATAGATGCGCTGCAGCGGAGTCCACAGGCCCAGACCACCATGTATGGGCCTAGCGTTAGGACAATTACCGAGGTTCGACAATGTTACGAGCATTCAAAGATACTCGACGCGGATCGTCCTACACATTTCACCTCCGTTCTCGAGTTGTTTCTCGATTTAGTTGATCATCTGCAGATGTTAGCTGGTCGAGCCACAGATTGGATCGGTGAGCCTGTCATGGAATTAACTGTTCACCCGAAGCAAGAGGAACTGTGCAGTAAAATCAGTGATGAACTAAGATTTTGGATACAATTCACTGATGAAGAAAACGATTTCACAGAGCTCCATAAACATAAAACTTTAGAAGAGTTCCGTGGTTTAAACTCAGGTGAAGTTCCTGTATGGGGCGCAGTAGTGAACCTTGTGCCAGTCCTGCTCAAATCAGCAGAAATTATCGCTGATCAAGTGAGTCACTGATTTATGTAACTCGTCTTTGTTCTGAATTGCGTGGACCTGGTCCGACTTGTAGTAGTAGTTTCATATTCACATAATTGCAAGGGCCTGAAACAAACCAGACCAATGGGGGTGGGAGGGGGGTGGGGGAGAAATACAGTGTTTCTTTAATGCCCATGGGAATTCTCAGGAGACTTGGTTCTCCAACCGAACCCTGAGACAAAATGGGTCTCAACCAGCGTCGATGTTAACTTAACGCTGTAGTTAATGGCATTTTTGCCTTACCGTGGCGGTTACTCTGACTTAAGATGTTCGCACACTGCCGACGAAATCGTCTGCAATCTGTCTGAGCGCTGGCCAACGCTTGGTCAGTCTGACCGTCGATAAGGCCCCATAAAAAATTATTAGTTTATCACCCTATCAAAGAATAAAAACTGATGAGGGAGGGAGGTTTTTTTTTTTCCTAGCCCTGCCCCCATTTAACCAATGTAAGTAAATCAATGGTTAGGGACAAATATATAAAAAGTCATAAGAATGGAATCAAATTTATATTAAAAAAATATGTTTTTGTTGTAACGGTAAATGTATTTGCAAGACGTCCTAAGCTTTTCATATGAAAAACGATGGAAAAACGACCGTTTGAAATATAGGCCTATGTTCATTAAAAAAAAAAATATCTGAATTTCCCCAAAAGTGATGAAAGAGGGGGATGATAAACTAATCATTTTCTTTATGGGGCCTAACATTCGAGTTAATCTTCGTCGAAACTTCAATCTCGTAAAATCTCATTGGCCGATGCAGTGTTCGCCGGGCTTTACACATTCTACACAAGTGTACGCGTTAATACCGAAATTCGTAAATATGAACTAAAATATCTTATTATAAGATATGAGTAAAATGTGAGTAGTGGAAATGTTGGTATGGAAGGGAATTACTTCTATGGTTAGCCATTCTGATGAGCTTATTATTTTTCTTCATCAGTGTTGTTGTCTGTTATTCACAGCCTCTCAGAATGTGTAGCAAGTTTTGATAGCTCATCTGTATATCCACGCTGAAGGTCACTTAAATTGATTATGACAGTTATAGTAATGGTGACACTTATTACTAAATTTTACTAGCCTACGGGGTACTTTATGCATTTATTTTTGACACAGGTGCTTTCATTTCGAAGATATGTTCACATCTATCATTTTCTGACAGAAATTGTTTGCGTACAAAACGGTACAGGTCGCGCGTGTGTCCAGGGTCGGTACATATCACGAGCCAGACCCTAACTCCAGGCGCCAATATTCTCCTACTAAAACCAATTTCTCCTCAATGAGACATTAGCACTGCATAAATTGGCATTGATTGAACACAAGTGGATAACATAATGATAATAGTGGTGGTGATTCTTTTACAATATTTGCATCGCGATTATGCACCCGAACATTATATGTAAAGGTTACAAGCTATAGCTTCATCATCATGATGTGATGAAAAACAAGAGAACATGCTCACATCTATAGCATTGGAAACAAATAGACTATAATTATACTGTATATTATGGCGAACTTCCCGCAGTATATAAAATGCTCATCTATAGCGTAATTTAGGCCGATGCAGGTTTGGAAACGATTTTTACAGACGCTATAAAATACTACCACTCCACTAATTTCTACGATGATCCATTCATTAGTTTTTGCGTATAGATATACAAACAGTGGTGAAAACATAACCTCCTCGGCGGAGATAATAATAATAATACACTTGCATTGTGAGTGACAGATATAGACTTATTATTATTTATTTATTATTAAAATTTAGCCGATAGGTCTCTGAACATTCAATTTCGCTGCTAATAATAAATGTAATGCCGAATATTGCCTTTGGCATATTACATCAATATTGATGACACTGCAGCTGGAATATGCAATTTGTATGCCTAATTTACAAATTATGAATTCGGTTTTCCATACTTTCTGAATTTAAAATATAATGCTGCATGAAACTGTTGTATATGTAACTCATGCTAACCATATCGAAACTATAGACCTATGCTCGCAAAGAATTATTACGTAAAGTTAAGAACGCGCTGCAAATTGAAACACAAAATGTCAACCCAGCAAATGTCGTGAAGTTTGCGTATTAATAGGAATACGTCGCGTTAGGAACGCGTTCAGGTGATAGCAAGCTTGCGTCATCCTATTTATGCGATGGTTGTTGTGTGTTGTGTGTTGTGTGAGAAAATTCATGTTAAAACTTAATCTTCTTTAAGTAGGCTACCATCGATTATGGTATAAATCTTCATTATAAGAAGAATGTTCAGCATGTTTATTTCACACATTGCCCATTTAAAATATATCTATTTATACTTTATATAACACAATTATATAATAAATATACAATAGGCCTATATTAGGTAAAAACATAGATTAAATAAAACAAGACTATGCGGAAAATGCATTTGTATTAAAATCTATAAACGCAAGAGACTACGGGGAGAATATTATAGTGTTCCCTAATTGAAAATGGACGCGTCCAAATGTCAAATGTGACTAGACCTGGAGAGTAAGAATAATAACAATAACAATAGTTCCGTCGCCAGGCACCAGGTATACAAAACAATCCGCCATCACTGATGATCCAGCTATCATTTTCAAGAATTCCTGCTGACGACGGGCAAGTTTTGGCCTAAGTAAATGTTTTTTTGTGTAAGTTGATTCGTGGTAATTGAAGTTTTCGTTCCAAAATTAATAATTATGGCCTGGAGCCGTGTGAACCACAATGCCCAGATTACTATGTAACAGCATGGAGTAATAATTGCCGTCATCGACCGACGGAGTAGCCCATAGGTCTTCTGGTCAATCATCACCTGTTCCTATATTGCAGCGCTTGCTTTCAATAATATCGAGTTATTAGTGTGCAATAATTCCAACGTGTTAAGTAAAAACCAGTATCTGACTAAAATTGATTTATTCCGCTGCACGTAAAGCTGAATACAAATCGTGATTCCCAAAGTCGTGAAGTTAGCATATCAATTTCTCGTAACCTAAGAATTATTTTTAGATCGAATAGAAAACTATGTAACAGACGGTAACGTAAGGAAGAACCCATCCATAATCCATGGTACACCAATTTAAAGTTAGGTACCTGAATATTGTTTTACTTACAAACATCGGTTCTCCAATGACCAGCGATGACCGAGTATGAGAAAATATAAGAATGATATCCCATACTAACTGTTTTCCCAGTCTGCATCCCATGTCTGAGAAGCAGGAGGTCAGGTGCTACATAGACGGATAGAGGGGCTAAACATTTCGGAATAACCTACATTTATATATACAGCCTATTTATAATATGCAATCGTCTGATTATAATATGAATAAATGAAAACACTAATGATACATGTTTTTGGGGCGAAAGGATTGATTTGATTACAAAATTAATAAGTATAGTCTACACTACTATCCTAATGACACTTAAGCGCAAGTAGAGCGTATCGAAATCAAAGCGGAACTTTACACACTGGGTTTCATCATAACTCCTCAGTTTTGGCGCCATTTTGCTTATTCAGAAACATAAGTACATGCGCTTTCTGAGTATTTAACCGGAGTGTTCTTTTCTTTTTAGCAAACGAAGTGGTCAAGCATAACTGGGCGTCTCGGTATGGGTATCTACAGCCAACAATGTAAAGACAGTGCTGAACAAAATGGCGATGGAGGTTCACGAGGGTCGTCTGGTAGATCGTCAGCAGGATCGAGTGGTAAATCATCCAATAAAAAGAAACCAAAGAAAACATACGGTAAGCCTACGTTTATAAATATGTTTGGATTAACCACAGACCCTTTAACGTTATGGGATTAACCAACACCACTGCCACAGGTATCTCGCAACGAAGGTTAATAGATTTCCTTCTACTCATAGTCCAGTCAATCTGTGACAAAATTGTAATGAACCTAGAACTAATAGCAACAGAAATAATTTTTGCAGAATTTCTTCCTAAAATATTCACATAATAACATTCTAAAAGTCCGAAAAAATCCAATCAGGGGAACAGTGTTAATTTTAAAGATATTTAATGAGTTAACATCCAACGATTTATTGTGTCACATTGTATTAATGCTGCATTGGAGCGTATTAGACACAATAAACTGTTGGATGTTAACTCATTAAATATCTTTAAAATTAACAATGTTCCCCTGATTTGATTTTTTTCAAACCACAGATTGACTGGACTATCATGTCACAATGAAAACTACAATATACAAAATAATAAGATGGCACGGTGTTGTGAAGTTTGTCAAATCAATATTCCTAATTATGTATTGTAAAAACGAAATTTTAATAATATATAAACAACGTTTGTGGCGCAGCAAACAAAGCGTGAAACATGGCTGTGTGTCTTGGAGAGTTGGTTTACACAAATGGGTTTAGATGAGTTGAAGAGTTTGGTTTCATATGGACTAAGTTGTCAATTTGGTTTATATGGCTTTGTACGGGTTGGAATAAAGATCTGGGAAAAGTATGGAACCGGGTTTGAAAGGTTTGGTTTATTATGGGTTGGGTTGACTAGTATACGATTTTGGTTTAGTATGAGGGGGTTCACGATTTGGTTGGTTTGAAGCGTTGGGTTTTGCATGGTTTTAGGTGATCCGGAAAACCAAAATGAAGGCGTTGGGTTCACGATTTGGATTAACAGGCGCTATAAGACAACAGTTATAATTACATTAATTCATCATTTCTTAAAACTTATTTCTTACAGCCGATCAAGTTGACCAGAGGAACAAAGGAAAGATGTCTTTACATGAGCGGCCACCATGGAAACCATCATCCACTATTCCTCACAATCTTTTCCCGAAATTACATATTCACCTTAGTGACCCTAGCAAAAATTTCTAGATGAGTCATGATGCCACCTTTAAAATTTAATTGGTTGGAGGCATGCATATTCAACAAGGAACAACGGAATATTCCTTTTGGGGGGCCTTAATTTAATTCCGTTATCCTGCATTTAAGTTGTTGTTTTCAGTACTACTATGATGCGGTCGCCATTGCGATTACTATTTTGTTATGCGTTTTAGAGTTTCGTTTTAAACAAAATTTCCTATTCACTGAAAGTAAGTATTAGAATAAGTAATAGACCTAACTTTACTGTGTACAATGAGAGAATACGTTTATATCTCAGTTTAATTATGATCAGCTGTTGTAGTAATACTCTCGTAACTCAAATTCGCATGATGACGCTTAGAAATCTGAAGTGATTGCGATGTTTGTTATAGATCGGATGTCAAATTATTATTTTAGTTATTTTAGTATCGATCTTGAACGAGTTGTACGCGTCAATTAATAATAATACGAGTTTAATTCCTCTTCAGTTTTATCGTCAGTATCATTTTACTAAATCGTATTTTAATAATAACATGTACACTTTCGTCATCCTTATACAATTGCCATAAACGACAGCGGATGTGCAAATTATATTTCGTAATATCGCCACGATTTAATGTGCACCGTGATTTAGAAGTAAAATATATCAGGTTTAATGTATTATAGGCTTAGTATGTTTATAGTATGTATATATTCTAACGATTCGATTTTACTTGATAGTTATAAACTTCATAAGATATCCATAAGATATTTCAAAATAAAAAAAAACACAAAGATATCAGTGAACCATTGTATTTTATTTGAAAAGTTATAAACTATATACTATAAACTATATAATATATTTTGTATACATTAAAGTTGTATTGCACACACCAACCGTTTGTTGGGATGTAACATATTCATACATTGTGGGTTGTGCTTGGTGGCACCAAGCACAACCCACAATCTTTCTAATAAAATATTATAATGTTATAAATATCATTATCAAAATGCCCGATGCTAAGACGTCGACCTGTTAATACTGTCACAAACAATCTGAATCTATTATCTCAAAAGTGATACAAGTACATTGACCTACAAAGAATACGTCGTTTTTTCACCTTCTCTGTCTTTATCAAACTTTTCCAACTTTCTATATCGACAGTATAACTTAATTATATTCACTGAAACTACAATACCAATAATTGAAATAGAGATTCCTAAAATCAACTTAATAGTCAAAGGTGACGGAAACGTTGAACACACCATGCTATACGTGCTAAAAATCATGGCTACTGGTGTGTCAGCCTTTGGAGTTGGAGAAGCGCATATGACATCAGTTTCGATGACTCTTTGGACATAGGTTGTGCTACCAGCCAGGCTGTGGAGGTCTATGTATTCCTTCATCCATCGAATTCGACAATCACACATCCAAGGGTTACTGTGAAGCGTTAACATCGTGTAATTATTAGATAATATTAATTTATGTGAAATGGTTTCAAGTTGATTTGAATGAAGGTAAAGTTCTAATAGATGAATACCGTCAAATGCTGCGGCGTCGATTTCTTGTATGAAGTTATTGTTCAGATCCAAGGCCACCAAACTTGTTGCACATTCAATTTGTGTTTTATAAATGGCTTGCAGTTCATTAAAATCAAGCATTAATACATTGATACCCCCGTCACAAAATGCTCCGGATGCAAAAGATGAAATTCGATTGTACGATAATAAGACGACTTCAAGATATGCCACCCCGGCAAACGAGTCATTTGATATATAAAGAAGATCATTGTGGGTTAAGTTCAACAAGTCAACACTAGAACCCTTCAACCAGTATGCTGGCAGGTATGTAAGAATATTTTCTTGCAATAATAGATACTTCAAAGTTGGCATTGACTGCAGTGCTTTATTTTCAATATTTTCTATTTCGTTATGTTTCAAGTCTATTATCTCCAGGTTTGTAAGTTTGTTTAAACACCCATTTTCAAGAATGCTTATGTTATTGTAAGATAAATTAAGTTTGATTAAATACTTTGTTCTGGAAATATCATGACAAGGTATTTGTAGTAAAGAATTATCTGAAAGAGACAACGTCTCCAATAGACAGTTCTTCTGAAGTCCGATCACGTTGCGTGACGGTTGCACGCCAAGTATGTTTTCTGATAACTCTAAATGACGAAGAACATGAAGATTGTTCGCCCATCCAGGTTCTAGTTGAGTTATGAGGTTACCTTGCAGATAAAGTTCTTCTAATTTGTAAAGATTATTAAATGTGCTTCTGTTTATTGTTTGAATGAAGTTGTTTGACAAGTACAACTTCTGTAACTCCTCCAGACCACGTAGAGGTGGCACATCTTCAATTTGATTTCCAGATAAACTCAAAAGCTCAACGTTCTCTAAGCTAATAAACACGTTGTTTCCAGCAAGTGTGAGTAAATTGTCATCTAGAATTAACTCCTTCAACTGCTTCATCTGCCCAATAGTGTTAAATACTAAATCGCCAAGCTTGTTTTCACTAAGATCTAATCGTTTCAATTTCTGCAGCTTTGTAAAATCATTCTCGATTTCTTGTATGCAACTTGCAGAAAGAAGCAACTTCCGAAGATGTGCGAGGTTAGCAAACATTGAGGCGTTAAGAACTGGTAGAGACTGCTTTCGTATTTCAAGTTGTCTCGTATCATTTGGAAATAAAAATGGCAATGACGTAATATTAAGCCTATCTTCAAAACATGTGACATACTTTCGTGAAACATCACATTTACATGATGGCGGGCAAGAAGATGACATCATTGCCTCTGAGGCAAGTTCTTCGTTTAGTAGAATTGTAGCGAAATACAGAAGAAGCAGATCCTGCCATATCTTCAGCCTCTGAACTGACATTTTAACAGGAAACACTGTAATAGAGCAGAAGTAACGTATAGTTTCAATGAAAATGACTAAAGATTTTTCTTTCAATACCATTTTGAACATCATAAGAGGCCTAATATCGATACCAGCGCTATACCAAATATTTGATTGATTATTATGAATTATAGGCCTACTCTAAACATACTGATCATGAATAACAATAATAATAATAATGATAATAATAATAATAATAGTAATAATTCATATTTATTAATTTTTCAGGTAAATGTTAACATTATGACATTACAAATAAACGGCGTAGAAAATGGGCTACTACAAAAAGTAGTAGATGAGTTTCTATTATCTAATAGTAATGTTGAAATAAAAATGATAATTGCTGTTTTTAAATAGCCAGTAAAATCCCAGTTTAAAGAATAGAGAATAATATACAGCATTAATTTAAAAAAATAAACAATAATATATTTTATAATATAACAGAGTATAATGGCCTTAATTATATTTATAATTTTCACAGTTAAAACCCAACAGGAATATAATAATGTAGCTGTATCGAAACAACAGTTCATTTTAATTGCTGGCAATGTTTTCCACTGGCATGGACGCACAGTACCGTATTGTATGCACTTGAATTTAATATGTTTAATGTTTACATAGAAGATGGAGGTAATTTGTATAATGGACAATCAATTGATTGTGTTGAATACACTTATATTACTGAATGCCTGTTATGTTTTTTTTTTGTTTGATTCATTGGGTGGACTTTAGAATGTTCATCACAGCTAAACCATTATTTAATCTGGATCTCCACAGAGTGAATAATGGATCGTGTATCATGATCACATTTTTCAGATGTGTCTGTGTAATTGTTAATGTAACAATTACACTATACAATTACAACAGGTATATTATTGTAATTGTATAGTGTAATTGTAATTACACTATACAATTACAATAATATACCTTTAATTAAATTCATTTGCATAAAACAATTGAAGGCTCTTGGCACTACCAATGCATTTTAGACCTAACGGGGCTTTCTCTCAATTTGTCGGAAATATTCTGTTCACAGATTTTAGAGTTTTTGTATAAAACAGATCTCTTTAAAAAATATTTTTCAAATCATCTAACTCATTCACTTGACGTGACTGTTTGAAAAGCGCAAGAAGTTATTTGCGTTGTTAGTGATCGACGTCATTATAACAACGCGAATTCGCTCGCTCTTTTGTAAACTGCATAAACAATCAGTGTGGCTGGATAATTTGAAAAAAAATAACTTACGTTAAATTTAAATTTATTATTGGAAAAAAGTGCAAGAATCGTTATTCTTAACAATAATTTACAAATGCTAAAAGAAACTTGTCTATAAACAGATATGCCTACGTCACGTAGGCCCTCCAACATGGCGTCGGTGGCCTCACTTTTTTTCTGTACAACGATTGGCCGATAAGCAGTCCAGCTATTATAGATCATTGGGCCTTTGATTGTTCATTATGAACCACTTGAAAAAAAGGAGACACGTACATCCCGTTAAAACGCAAACTACAGTCTCCAAAAGTCGGTGGGCACCGAGTTGTATATGGAACGCCGTTACTGTCTTTGGTGGCTCTTTTCCGTTCGGCGCATTTGCTATTCGGCCCTTTTTACATTACGTTGGGTGCTTTTAACATTACGTTCGGTGCTTTTAACATTACGTCCGGTGCTTTTAACATTACGTTCGGTGCTTTTGCCGCACTTCGGCTCTTTTATCATTTGGTGCTTTTACCTTTCGGCCCTTTCATCATTACGTACGGTTCTTTTATCATTCGGTGCTTTCATGACCTTTGACATCGGGTCAAGTGGAGAAAAATCAACGGCTGTGGGAATGAGCCTAGTGGAAAATCGCGCGTAACAAAGCATATTCGACATGTGATTATCTTAGTGATAAAGTAATAATAACTAACGAAAACAAAAATGTCTCGATCAATCAAAACAGTATTGGAAGACATGGATCTACATTTTCTTGTCCCTAAGTTTGAAAGGGAAAGGGAAAGGGAAAGTTTTTTCCACATGATTTTGGTGGTATATTAGGGCAAATAGAAATATAAGATTATCATTATAGACCTAGTATTGAAAACAAAAATAACTAGGGGGGACTCTTCTTTATTCCGGATATGAAGAAGCAGGCTTATTTAAATAAAAGAAAATTAATTAATTACCGGTAACCAAACGATTCCAAACAAGTCCGATCCCATTTTTGGCTTACATAATAAATAAAAGTTAAACTCAAAATTTTCCCCCTCCAGTTGATTGATTTATTTTCCCCTCCCTTTACTGTCCGGTCGTTTTACAAATGCTCCTTCCGTGGTTATCTCGTATTTTGATATTGGTATTTTTTTTTGTCTTTTTATTTTGTCTACCTTTTTAATATTATATAATATATATTTTATACTTACTTCTTAATTCATACGCAATTCAGCCTTTGTTGCTGCTATGTATGTTTTTGATGTTGGATTTTTAATAAATATACCTCAAATAAATAATAAAAACTTAGCATATATTACAACAAAGATACACATTTGCAGGTGTCCCAAGTTGGAAAAAGGCAATTCGTGAAGCAGGGGGTGGAGCCAGTGCAGTGAGAGGGTACAGGGAGAACACCCATCTCTTGGGGAGAAAATCCACAACTCCACATTTAGAACTCCCGATCTACGGCCAATTTGTTTCCGTCTTGCGGGCATCTGATACCATTTTAATTGTTATTTAGGGCCTACCATGTTGTATATTTGCCTTTACAGCATTATTATTATTTATTATTATTATTATTACTATTATTATTTATATATATACATGTATATAAATATAATATATATATGTATATATATATGTATATGTATATGTGTATGTATATGTATATATATATGTATATATATATATATATATATATATATGTATATATATATTATATGAAGAATGCGTGCCCACCTGTGTTTCAAAACATGAATATAATATAGCGCAACAGTAATGAAACTAAGAAGTTGAAAGAAGGGAAAAAAAATGAAATAGAAGAAAGAGAGAAGGAGCTAGCCACTAGGCTCGTTCCCACAGCCGTTGATTTTTTCCACTTAACCCGAAGTCATGAAAGCACCGAATGATAAAAGAACCATAAGTGTGGCAAAAGCACTGAACGTAATGTAAAAAGCACCGAACGTAATGTAAAAAGCACCGAACGTAATGTAAAAAGCACCGAACGTAATGTAAAAGAACCGAACGTAATGTTAAAAGTGCCGAATAGCAAATGCGCCGAACGGAAAAGAGCCACCAAAGGCAGTAACGGCGTTCCATAGTTGTAGGCCTAACGCAACTGCTTACCAATCAGCTCGCAGCTTGTGCTTTGCAAATTGATCTAAGGCTTCAAGAGTAGTAACATTACCAAACCAGATCAATATAAATATTACCGACAGAAGTAGTAAAGGTAGCATCCGTGTTGACAACAGTTGATGATGGTAAGAAAATATTTATAAACAAACAAAATTAATGATATCGATATCGTGATATCGTTTTAGGAGGCCAAACCTAGCCTGCATCTTCAAACAAGAACTTACAGGAAAAACAGGTTCGACGGCCTGATGAAACACTGCAGAAGGCCTCTCAGGCCTAGATAAGACTAGGTAGGGTAATCCAAGACTAGGCCTATTGGCGAGCCTCTCAAATTTTCAAAAATCATGAAAAATGAGGAATAGGCATATATTATGATAAGCCAGGGCCACAGGGAGAGCTATCTACTTAAGGCTTTAAGCCCGTCGTCCGTGCTCCTTGTGTGACATTGAGTCCAGTCGAGATTTAGAAGCAGAGCTTTAATACAAAACAGTTCTCTAATGTTCATGTGCGTTAAAAGGTGTTTTAGACGAGTATATTGTTAGACCTATTTAGATTATAACCCTATTTAAATTTAATTACACATGTCTTGTTTTGTAAATTTTATATACTTGTTTGAGTAATCTATTTTTTCACTAGTACTGTGAGACTATTTTGTATAGCAATAATAACATTTTATATATTATATTGTAATTTATATATATATATAGGCCTATATATAACTTGATATTCGTTTATGCACATTAATATGACATAAAAATTACAGAATAGTAAAGTATTGTACATCACTATTCCTTTAAATGTAAAGAATACAATAATAATTATCTCGTCAAATAAATGTATGATACCGCATTAAAACTAACGCAATGATTCACACTCTTAGTCTGTTGTCCTATCTTTTATACACTCTCATATATACATTTTTTCTCTCTGTTCTACTTTTATACTTTTACAATTTTTTCGTCTGCAATTTGTTCATACCTATTTATTTGAAGGTGATTGTCAATTCAACTGAATCGAATTTAAATTATCAATCGCTAAAACTTCAGAAAAGACATTTCTTTTGTAAAATGAGTTCGTGAAGAGATGACAGTTTTCCTATGGATCAATGATTACCACACTTCATCATGACAGATTGTACATGAATAAAACATACTTCTAATACTTGTTCGTAATCAATATGATAAGCTCGGCCTGTAAATGTTACGTTAAACTTAACTGCATTAATGTGATATGCTCCTGTGAGGCTGTCTCTTATACACATCTAGATGTGTATAAGAGACAGGTATATGTATATATATATGTATTTGTATATGTGTATATATATGTATATAAATGTATGTATATATATGTGTGTGTATATAGGCCTATATATATACATATATATAAGTTTAATCATTCTTTATACAACGTTGTTTCGTCCTTTAAGGACCTGTCTCTTATACACATCTAGATGTGTATAAGAGACAGGTCGAGGACAAATACCGTATATTTTCGCGTATAAGGCGATCCGTTAGTTTTTGGACAATTTTGTATGTCGGCTGTATAAGACGACCCCTCCCCCTCCCGTTTCACCTTCGAAATTCCCACTTTTTCCTGCTCTTTATGGTCTATGGTACTGCACCTAGCTGGCTAAAAACGGAGCCATATTTAGGGCTCTTCCAAATACTGTAATACCATTTTTTGTGACTTTAAATGTTCATCAAAATCTTATTTCCCCGCATTTAGACTTAATGCGTCCATTCAAACCAGCAGTTAGCTTTATTTCAGTAGTAAACGTGTATGTGTTGCTTGTATAAGACGACCCTGTTTTTCGATCGTAATTTGCTATTAAAGCCTCGTCTTATACGCGAGAATATACGGTAATGATATCGGGGACAGCTGCGCAATGTTGAGCGATTGAAATGGAAATGATTTGTATGTTAGGCTATCCTTAGCAGCTACCAAATTATAATCATGCAATTTTAAATTATAATGTATATAGTCCTACCTATTGTGCACCGAAATGTACCATTAACTTGACTAACACCAATCATTATAATTAGTTTGACAACTATCTATATATACTAAAGCAATATCTATGTGTACTAAAGTGTTAGAGAAGCTATGTTTCCGTCCATCAATCAATCCATCTATCTGCCTAACAATCCATCTCTATTCATCAATCACTGCCGTGAATTTGTCAATCCGTATATAGGCATAATTTTGATAGGCTTATCAGATACCTTGCATATATTTTACCATAGCTATTCAACTCCTTTGATAACCAGTGTACCTCATAATATAGTAAGGATATATAGCCTATATACACATTTTTTATAAGAACCATTAAAATTTTGCCCAGGCTCAGTGTTCTTATTTTTTGCCAATTTCAGGCTCAAAATGTTATTATTTTGTTCTTAGTTTTACACACTCTACAAACGTGTTACTAAAAGTGTTTATTTATTTATTTATCTATTTAAATTATTGTACAGTATTTGTCCTACCTCGTAATCCCGGCCCCGAAACCTTGACTCAGAAATACCGGGTTGGTGTCCGGCGGGGGTTGGTGTCCGGCGGGGGATAGTTTTCCACCAAAGTTTTTACTATTGTTTATTTTATTGTACTGTGCTGGTTACTTTTTTTTTGTTGTTATTGTACTCTGTGTTTGCAGGACCATATTGTAAAACAGCGGTAAGATCTCGCCTGTATATGTTATCCTGCCTAAAGATGTTTTAAATAAAAATAAAAATAAAATAAATAAAAGTGTAGTCCATAAGATAAGGGCTTAGTTTTATTTTCGTTTGTTCTGTTATTTACTGATAATGTGCTGTTTAATAAATCTTTTGTGTTATTTCTGTGTAACAGCAGACGGCAAATACATCTTTAAAATACCACAATAATTTCAAGCTCAATACCATATAAACAAGGCCGCGGCTGATTTTATTATAAAAATTCCGTTTCAACATACATGTTTCAGAATTTCGGCAAATCCTTTGCCATCTTCAGTGAAACAATTGCTAAAGTGCAATATCTTTTATAAAGAGAGTGAACAACTGCGAAGCATTGTATTTTTTTTTAAAGAGGAATAATTTAAAAGACAATGCCGTGTAATAAAATACCGCCGAGTAAATTGACTTTGTGGTAAATCGAACCCTATTATTATATTGAATGTTGATTTACTGCTTTGGACATGGAATTTGTACATTTGGTTATTATATTATTATAAACAACTAATATTTTTCTAATGGGTTTATAATAAATATGGATTTTTGTATTTCTAAATTTTATATGAAACTGATTTAACAAATTGTATAAAAAATATTGATACCATTTGACTAGAAAAATAATTAGACAGTAGGCCAATATAGGGTTTAATTAGAGAAGGGGTAAAGATAACAGTGTGTGCATGTGTTTGCGAGGAAGAATCAATGACCCTATCTATCTCAACGAGGATGGGTCGGGATAGATGACCTCTTCCTCTCCATCTCATCTTCTTTTGTGTCACCATACATTAGCCTAATCTATGCTGATGGCATGGCCTAAGAGTTATAAATTATGTTTTTAAAGCTAAGAACATAGATAAAAATATAACAAACCTTAATATTATTAGCTGAATTCAAGTGTCTGTCGCGTAGGAACCAGGATCATAAGACCGAAGAGGTTTTCTTCTTTCTTCTTCGTTGGTAGTAGTAGTGACAAGGTCAAATGCTATTTAATGGGGATTCCAATACCCACGACGTATCGACACATTCTACATCATGCGTAAATCTGTTACCTGATTGTAGGGATCGACAGTGTTATAGCCTAGGCCTGTATCCGTACGTGGAAGGATGCTTATACCGTTACGACTCTGTACGTCGACAGTGATTAAGTACGTCAAAAAATTCTAAAGGCAGTGCCATGCGATTGTCTAGAGGGCGATAGTGCAACATCTAATCGTTGCCATAGATATAATTAACAATACAGTATTATCATTATGTTATCATTATTTCTGTTATTATATTGATTGTTATCGTTATTATAAGAGTGGTGATGTAGTTTTGTTTTTTTTTTTTTTGGTTTTTTTTTTGGCTTATATACTTACCTTCC